AGCTTTGCAATGTTCCTGAGATGGAAGAAGGAAGAGCGAACAAGAGAACTGACATGAGAATCCAAGGTGAGAGTAGGGGTTGTACGAAATAGTCGACTAGTCGACTTCACGGCTCTGTAGTGACTTTTTATGCCTGTCATCGACTAGTCGCTGTCACGTGATAATGACTGACAAGATGCAGTCCTCGGAAAAGACAGCAGGTGATGAGCCCCTGCGCGTCTGGATCGAGGCGGAGGCGACGCGCTGTGCGGTACTGACACCGGCGGTAAAACGGACATTTAACCAAACTGTGACCTTTTCCCTCTTGCAATTTAACCTTCCCCTCACCCCCATCCTAATCTTAACCAGTTTGTGCATGCAAAGCTCTGATCGTTGACGTGCGCTCCAGACATTGCGTCCTGAGCACCGCCAAATCAGGTGTCACCACCTCAAAAACAAATTAAACACGCGATCGTTCATGTCGGCTCATTTCCTTTCATGTTTTCTGTCTGTTATTTGTGCCTGATGCATTTCGCTGCTGCGGAGCGAGGCGCATCACCTGTTGTCCTCCGGTGACGCACCCCCAAGATTCCACTATCTCCGCTCCGCTCCGGCATGAACTCCGCAGCAAAGACGGTCCCGTTGTAGTCGGCCAGCGAGCAGCGGCACTCCGCTGTTTTTGCGGTCGGTAGATCTTTTAGAACTGCAGTTCAAAGGTAACTCAGGTAGCAGTTTTTCTTTAGGATTGAGAGGAGATGCAGGAAGATAATAAACAGGCAGGACAGAAAAATAGTCAAATAAAAACAAGTTAGTTTTTGTACCTGCTGGCTGCAACAAACAGACACCACTGAAGGTAATCAGAAGTGAGGAACAGAAAATGAAATAATTATTTTAATGTTTAAAGCAGCAGGAAAGGCTGCAGGCGCATCAGTGAGTTTGCGGCTGCTGCGCAGGGGGAGGGGGGAGAGGGCTGAAGTAGGATGCAGAAACTACCGTTGTTAAAAGAGATGTGTTAACTTAGAAAATGTGGGCGCAATTTTAATTGTCAAAAACTCCAGCGAACCTACCAACCGACCCCCCCCCGCTTCCGGCGTATGACGTTATCAACGACTAGTCTAAGTCGACTCGACTTTCATTACTTGACTGTCGACTTTAAAAAAAATAAAGTCGTGCAGGCCCTAGGTGAGAGCTGCGTCAAGACTCCTGACGGAGGGTTTGGTGTGAGAAGCAAGCTGACCGAGAGAGTCTCTGACTTTGGGAACCAGCTTGTCTGGGGCACAGATGAGGATCTCAGTCTTATCTTCATTCAGCTGTAGAAAGCTCCCAGCCATCCAGGTTTTGATAGAGTCTAAGCAGGTGTGTAACAGCTGCAGCGTAGACATCTCATGGGGCTTAAAGGAGATGTACAGTTGGATGTCATCTGCATAAAGATGGTAGGAGATTCCTTTGAAGGAGCTCAGGATGTGCTGACGAGGACGCAGAAAGAGGAGGAAGAGCAGAGGCCCCAGCACAGAACCTTGTGGAACACCATGGGTAAGGGAAGTGGTGGAGGACCTAAACTTGGAGACGGCCATAGAAAAGGAGCGCTCAGAAAGATAAGAGGAGAACCACTCCAGAGCAGTTCCTGATAGGCCTACCCAGTCTCTCAGCCTCTCCAGTAGCAGGTGATGGTCAACAGTGTCAAAGGCTGCAGTCAGGTCCAGCAGGACCAGAACAGAACAGTCCCCTGCATCACTGTGAGTCAGAAGGTCATTGGAGACCCTAAGAAGAGCTGTTTCAGTAGAATGAGCTCTACGAAAACCTGACTGGAAGCAATCATAGATGTTATGTTCATCAAGAGCTGCTGTGAGTTGTTTAGCCACAACCTTTTCCAAGAGCGTGGAGATGAATGGAAGTTTAGAGATAGGTCTGAAGCTGCTATGGAGAGAGGGGTCAAGACTCAGTTTTTTAAGAAGCGGGTGGATTACAACGTTCTTAAAGTAAGCAGGGACCTGACCAGAAACCAGAGAAGCATTAATAATGAAGAGCACGCTGGGACTGTTGGACTGAAAAGCACTTTTAAACAAAGATGAGGGTAAGATGTCGAGGGGGCATGCAGAGGTCTTCATAGAGTTAACTAGTTTTGTTAACTCTGGCAAAGAAACAGGAGCAAAGCTATCTAGGATGATGGGCCTGGTTGGATTCGGGAGAGGCGGCGATAAGGCTGAAGGAGAGATGCTAGATCTAACCTTATTGACTTTGTCCACAAAGAAAGACAGAACGTTCTCACAGTCTGCAACAGAGTGGATGGAGGCTGTAGGAGAGGCAGGAGAGACAGTGCTGCTGATGGTGTTAAAAAGCACCTTGGGGTTCCCTTTGCTCTGGGACACCAGGTTGGAAAAATAGGCACCCCTAGCGTCTCTGACTGCAGAGTTAAAGGATGTCAGAAGATCCTTTAGGTGCAGCAGATGGACGTGGAGATGGGTTTTCTTCCACAAGCGCTCAATTTTCTGCATTGGTGCTTTAGGCTGCGAAGGCTGTCATTAAACGAGGGAGTAGGGTTCACTGCAGGAACTGATCTGGTTCTGACAGGACAGATATTGTCCAGAATGGAGAGGCAGTGCTCGTTGAACTGAGAAGTTAAGGAATCTGGGTCATTATCAGAAGAACAGGGTGGATCAAAAGCAGCAGAAAAATTGCTAGCTGTGCTCTCGTTAAGAAAACGAAAACTAACCATACGGCGAGCAGGAGGTGGGGACGCAGAAACTGACAAGTTAAAGAAAATGCAATGGTGATCTGAAATCGAAACGTCCTCATGTCAAACACTGTCAGCATTTACACTCAGGGTAAAAACAAGGTCTAGAGTGTGCCCCCTGGTGTGTGTGGGGCCAGAAACATGCTGGGTAAAGACGAAGGAGTCCATAAGGCTGGAGAAAATCATGGCAAAATGATCAGAGGGATCATCAACGTGGATGTTAAAGTCACCAACAATCACCAGTCTGGACAGCTTCACAGTGGAGGACAGAAACTAAACTCCTGAAGGAAAGAACTGTTTGGACCAGGTGGACGATAGACCACAGCACAGTAGAACGGGTCCTTACGCCCGACTTTAATCAGCTGCAGTTCAAAGGAAGCAAAGTGACCAGAGGTTGTAGAGTTACATGGATGCTGGTCTCTGAAAACAACAGCTAGGCCTCCACCACGACCAAAACCCCGGGGCTGGCTAAGGAACGAATAACCACTCGGGCAGAGTTCAATCAGACCAGAATAATCAGATGTTTGCTGCCAAACTTCAGTCAGAAACAGAAAATCCAGGTTTTTAGAGAGAATTAGATCATTGAGCAGGAAAGACTTATTGTTAACAGAGCGGGTATTTAATAGAGCCATGCTGAGTGACTTTATTGCAGATTCTGTTCATAACTTTTATGGACAGAATTTCTAGGCGCAGCCAATGTGTTAAGAGGATCTGTTTTGGTGGCCTAATGCCTAATTTATACTTCTCCGTCTGCATCGGGATGGAGACACGCAACTCCATTATCCGTCCTTTCAAACCTCCTGGAGAGCTCTTCCAAGGATGGATGGAGTCGAGGTCTCTTTTCTAAACATCTGACCGGCGAGACGAAGAATGCAAGCTTGTGATTGGTCAGGACGCCGCTGTCGTCAACAATGCCGTCATTGCGCCCTCGAAAACATAAAGAGAACCAAGGATATCTAGCGGCAGACATGGAGCAGCTTGAAGAATACCTCACAGCAAAACTCTAAAAATATGAACGTTTTATTCACCTGTGACTGGAGGAGTGAAAAGATATGCAGCAAGCATTTTATCCATGGACGGAAATTACGGGAAAATTGGGTTTAGAGGTGGCGAGTCCATGAAGAGGTGGAGAATGAAGGACAAATTTGTTTGTGTTAAAAAGTCTCTTAAATACACAAAATACAATATAAATATAATATTAAATGCACTAACCAGATACATGACAGGATACCACAGAACAGCGCTATGCCCTCTGTTGTCCTGGCGGGGAGTTGCTTTGCAACTAGGGATGTACCGATCAGGTTTTTTTGCCCCCGAGTCCCAGTCATTTGATTTTGAGAATCTGCCGATACCGAGTCCCGATCCGATACTTTCGATACATGAAAAAAAATAAAATAAAGAAAAGGAAGAAACAGTTCCAGAATGTTCCTTATTTTTTTATTTAATTACCTTTTTATTTTAATTTTAAATAACAGATCACTTCGGTGAGGTAGCTTGAACAATCAAGTAATAAATACCATAAATGCTTCACTTTTGGACTTTATTGCAATTTAAAAAAAGTCTAATATAAAAACAGATAGCACTTCAACTTCAAGGGGTCTATTTTGCCTCGGCCCCCAAAATGCTTAGATACGTCCCTGGGCATCACTGCAGTGACGCGGGCGTTGTACCGATTTGTCGTGGTGAAGAGAGAGCTGAGCCATAAGGCAAAGCCTGTGATTTTCCAGTCGACACGTTCCTACCCTCATCTATGATCATGAGCTTTGGGTAGTGACCAAAAGAATGAGATTGCAGATTCAAGCGTCCGAAATTAGTTTTCTCAGCAGGGTGGCTCGGCTCTCCCTTGGAGAGAGGGTGAGATACCCACAGAGGGTTTGTTTAGTCCTGCAGAGTTGATGTGTTTATTCTGTTGTTCAGCATTGGGTTTTGAAGCATGTTTAATTACTTGATTGATTTCTATCTCCAAAAAACTTAATTATCATGGAACAAAGATATCATGGAAGAAAGATCTGCAGACAACATGAACTTAAACAATCCAGGATAAACATTTTTAAACTTGCAGCTTCAAGGTTTAAATAAAACAGCTTCTCTCTGGGATCAGATCCTGCTGGTGCTGTAGCTTTGAATCATTCACACAGAAGATAATTTGTGTCACAATAGTCGATTATAAATACTAATTTCAAAATATGAGACTTGAGGGGTTACCATGGTTACCGAGCTGTGTGTGTGTGTGTGTGTGTGTGTGTGTATGTGGGATCTTTTGTAATTAACCGTTTTCTCCCTTCAGCCTTGAGCCAACTTCATTCTCTGCCAAGACCCAAGCTTCAGATAAACCAGATGGTGAGTTTCTGCTCCTGCTGATGCGTAAAACAAATCACAGCAGCATCTGCTTGGAGGCTGTGCAACAGATTCTTATTCTTTAGGTCTTCATGCATCCAATTGTCAACAGAGACACAGAACTTTTCTCAGTCCGTGTTTTTTTTTTCTGTCCAGATTCCAAGACCACTGCAGCACCAACAAGAGGGGGTTCCAGTATGTCCTGCAGACCACCATGGGTCACGGACCCTATATTTGCAGACCGCTTTCACCCAGACAAGACCAGCACCGTGGTGACGCAGCACCAGCAGCCTGTCCAGCCAACACCCATGCAGAACCGCAGCTCCATCCTTCAGGCAGCGCAGCAGGCGCCCGAGGACAGTGGCAGAACCCCAGTATGTGGTTCTTGCAACAAAATCATCAGGTGAGGCAACTCTTAACATTTACCTAAACTGTGTAAAGTCAGTGTATGAACCTTTTCAGTCCTGTTTAATATGATGCATAATCTCAGGTGATTAATGTGCAGAATTAGTTTACTCATAACTTAATTCAGTTGATTTATTTAGCATTAGTTCACAGCTTGTATATGTTTGTGTAGCATGATGATTTTGAGACTACATATTTAATAATGACCAATAAGATGTGATGATTCCATATAAATATGAAATATCAATCTGATTGATCTTTCAGTGTTTACTCAGACGATTCTAGTGTTCTTTGCTAATTCAGGGACCATAAACACACTTGCTATTAATTCAGACAGAGTCAGGTATAGTTTCTAAAATTAATTTAATTATTTTTCCTAAACTAATGATTATTCATGACAAGATATGAATAATGAGATGTGATGTAGTGGGTATGAGGTGATGTAATGGGATGTGTGAAATGTAATGGAAGCTAGATGTTTTAGCAAAACCGTTCTTTGTATCTGAGAGAGTTTGTTAAGTCTGGGTTGTAAAATAATTTGTTGTTTGTTTATAAACTAGAGAGTTGTTTATTAAAATCATCCGAAGCCAGTGTGCAAGCTACGATACCCTTGGTATGAATTGATCCCGGCGGTCCAGAGGAGTGCGGTTCAAGTGGTGATGTCACCGGACGTTGAAACCACAATACTCAGAGAGTAACAGCTTCCTCTGAGTTCAGCTTCACCATCCATGAGATGCAACCTGGGGTCTGCAGGTTAGATGTCTGAGGTGTGAAGTAGCACAATACTCAGAGAGTAACAGCTTCCTCTGAGTTCAGCTTCACCATCCATGAGATGCAACCTGGGGTCTGCAGGTTAGATGTCTGAGGTGTGAAGTAGCTCTGAAAAGAGCTGTTGCATCTGTAATTACTCACAGCGTCGCAGAGAGGCTTTGACTGGAAGTCAAAGGAAACAGTTTGAAAAAGGCTTCTTCCCCGATTTGGCCGAATCAGGAGTCAGCTAGAAACTGAATTAATCAGGAAGTACATTTTTGTTTTATTGAACTAATTGTTTATAAATTATAACTCAGAAGTACCCCTGAAGGACTTAGTTGTTCATCCTTTTATCAAAACTTATTTAGAGTCTGAGAGGGTTAATACGTATCTTATTGTAATGTGTATGAGTGTAGATACTGATTAACTTGTTAAATCAAAGACATACTGATTATAAGATCTGAAATGGATCATTGTAAGAGCAATAGTCATTTTATAGCCATCATTGGTTAAAGCACAGATTATTCAAACATTTGATTTAAACATCTTGTTCATTCAACACATATTATTATTTATACTTTTAAGCTGTAAAGATAAACAATCAATGATGAACAAGAGTCTGCTTCTAGACCTGCAGAAAAGGGACACACAACAATATAACAGGAGCAAGCTATCACTGCGTCAACTTGATGAAGAAATATAAAATCAACACTGTTTTACCGAACAATCCCACGATAATAAATTACAGTGCATTATGCCACTTCTGTTGGTTTAAATATGGCGGACTGAGCGGTTGGGTGTGGTGGCCTTTCCTGATCATCTTTTAATAAGTTCGAAAAAAGGACTGAAAAGTTGTCCCACTTTGAAGACATTGGGAATTCTCTTCTTCAGTATGCCTCCAAAAAAAACTCTGGCTAAGGACATGCCGAAAGGTACAGAGGAAGCCGCTGACGTGTTAATCAGTGACTTCAGCTTGGCGTCGCTGGACGCTATATTGAAAAAATATTTTTCTGAAGCCGAGACGCTCTCTAAAGAACGCTTTGATCGACTGGAGTCTCAACTCGACAGTGTGATTGTCACTCTTAACAAGCTGGGATCCGAGCTTGAGTCTCACAAGCAGCTGACTTCCTCACTCCAGAATTGAGTCAAGCAAATTGAAGAAGGTAAAGTGGATTACAAGTCTGACCTAACAAAACGCCAAAATAAGATTGTTTTTCTGGAGGATCAAAGCGGAAGAAATAATATCCGAATCTTCAACCTAAAAGAAGGGGTCGAACTTAATCATGCTTAATCCTACCTGAAGGATCATCTCCCGGTGTGGTTCCCAGAACTGGTGGCTTCTCCTCCTGACGTGTTGGTCCCGGCGGAGGCTCTGCTTCGTCGCGCACCTTGCTGGTCAGTCTCATGCAAGCTGCCGACAAAGTTCGTATTCTATCCCTGTCCAGGAGTTCTTACCCCCAAATTCCACTACCTCCGCTCCGCTCCGCTCCGGTCCGCCCCCGCCTTCCGCAGCCGCTTGCTTCCGAACTCAATTTTTACTGGTACCCGCTCTACAACGGCTCCGCTCCGGTGCGGAGACCTGAGGGGGGCAAACAAGCATGCGCGGGATTTTCGAGATCTTGCGATACAGTCCGAGCAATAAACGCGGAAGTTAGATCCAAACACCCGTTGTGCGGGAGAAGCATCGGAAATGAGCTGTTTAATCTGCCCATCATTTGTGTTGAGAGATCAGCAGTGTTTGGATCAACAAAGTGTGACTACTTTGATAGTGGCAACTGTATTTATGGCTTATTTTTGTGCATTTAAACTTCAGCCGCCATTGATAGTTGTTAAAAGTTGTTAAACCTGTGCATATGAAACAAAAAACGCCTTTTGTTTAGCGATTTATTGTGAAAAACGGAAGCTGTGCTTGCTCCTTTTCCTGTTGGGCCGTTGTGATTTCTGTCCATTTACTGCGGAGGTGCTCCGGCGTCCGGCAAAAATAGGATCGATTCTATTTTTGCCGGACGCCGGAACAGAGGGCGCCGCACGGCGCCGCACTGCCGGAGCACGGCCGCAGTAGTGGAATTGCTCTGATTGACTAGAACGGGACCGATTTTGCTCCGGCGTTCGTGTCGGAGCGGAGCGCAGCGGAGCGGAGGTAGTGGAATTTGGGGGTCAGGTGTCTGTCGCTGGGAGGCTCATATGTTTTGCAGCGGATTATAGCGATGTGACGGTGCGATGGCGTTGTTTTCCAATCTTAAATCGTGCTCATGCCCTGGGTTGGAAAGTCTTCCTCTTTTATCCTGCCAATATCGAACTGATCTACGGAGCTGAACAACTGTTTTTTACTGATCCAGCTGAGGCAGAGACATATCTGGACTCCCTGGATCCTGCTGTTATGAATAACTCTGAGGATCACTAAAGTCTTCTGGCTCTGAGGTTGGTCGTCCATCCCTTTCTTTCATTCAGTCATTCTACCCACCAACATTATGAACTATTTTCTATTTCTGTTTTGGTCGGTTAATGATGACCTTATTTTTTGGTGGTGTCTTAAGTTAAGTTACCCAGATGTTTTCACCTATGTGCCTTTTATGTTTTGATTGGGAATACTTTTCCCTATGTATTTTTTCACTAGGTCGCTTTTCTTTCTTTTTATTAAGCTGCCTAATTACACTTTTTATTTTTCTGAATTGCCCTCGAAAAGACTACTTTATCTTTATCTTTCTGGTAACATTTAGTGTAAAGTAGTCAGGGGTGGCCATAATGCTCTTGGTTTATTACCATCTGCTATAATGACTTTGTAGCCCTGCCTGCTCCTCCTTGCTGCCTGCCGGCTATGATCACAAGCAACAACATAGTAATTCCCGCTGCTTCTTTGGGAAACAGCGCAAAAAAAAAAAAAAACTTGGGATCTTGTAGGCATGGCGGTGGGATTTCAGCCGTGGCGGGCTGCCACGGCTACGCCTATGTAAGGGAAACCCTGGTTATCCTGTCAAGGAACTCAATGATCTCATTATCTGATGGGTTTATCTGTGGTGAGTAAAAAGTTTGGTAAAAGTCTCTGAAAGTGTTGTTTATTCTTTCAGGATCATAAACTATATTCCCAGTTGAGCCTTTAACAGCAGATATGGTAGTTTTCTCTTTATTTATTCGTAACTGGTTAGCTAAAAATTTACTTGATTTATTAATATGTTCAAAGTTTTGTATTTGTAGTCTTTGTGCTAAAAATTGTGTCTAATTCCATGAAGTTCTAATTTATTTTCACGTAATTTGCTCAGTAACTCTTTTTCTGCAGATGCCTCTAAAGACTTAATGATTTCTTTTAACTCCTTAATAAGTATGTTTTCTGTTTTTTTCTTATGTGATGAGAAAGAGATTGTTTTACCTCTCATGATGTTCCAGGCAGGTCATTATGTTCTAAATTTAAAGCCCACTCCTTTTTAAAAAAAGTCTATAAAACCTTTGTCTTTAAGCAGCGATGTATTAAACCTCCAGTTTTTGCTTGGTGGGATTGTCTTCTTATTTACCAGAGTTAATGAGACCGGAGCATGGTCGCTGACAACTATGGGGTGTAGGGCTGCAACAACGAATCGATAAATTCGGTGAAAATCGATTACTAAAAGCGTTGGCAACGAATTGCGTCATCGATTCGTTGTGTCGCACAACTCTTCCAAAAGCGCGCCCCCCCCCCCCCCCCCCCCCCCTCTTCCCGCCCGCTGTTGCGCACAGACCAGAGCAAGTCAGATCAGCGCGAGGGAGAGCCGCAGATCAGCGCGAGGGAGAGCCGCAGATGCGCGAGGGAGAGCCGGTACCGGCAGATCAGCGCGAGGGAGAGCCGGTACAGGCAGATCAGCGCGAGGGAGAGCCGGCAGATCAGCGCGAGGGAGAGCCTGCAGACTTGAGCTGCTGCGAACCGGTTCCGCATTGTTGCACAGCGATCCAGGCAGCTGCTTCCAGCGCACGGTCCATTCTCAAAGTGGCGCAACCAAAAAACTATAATTAGCACACGATCGTTCTTGTCTGCACATGTTCTCTATTTTCTGTCTTATTTGTGCCTGAAGCGCGCTACTGCGGAGCTCATCACCTGTGCTGTGGTGATGTCACCTCACGCAGCATCGAAAACGCGCTCTGCGCTTTGCGGTCAGGAGATCTCTTTGATCTGCTCAAAAGTAACTGATGAGGTGAAAAGGTAAGAATCCAGGCAACAGATTTTCTGGAGAATTATGAGGAGATGCAGGAAGATGAGAGACAGACAGGACAGGAAAA